CGTCATGAGATTCTCGAAGGATCTTGACTTTTCCTGGCAACTCTAGTTTTTTCTAAGCGCCCTCTTTTTTGTATTTAAGCCAAGCAAATAAAGCGGAGATAGGATAGCAGACAGAGATATATAGAGACAGATAATTGAGTTAAGCGAGTGGTAGTGACCGTAAGTAAAGTGCGTGAATCGTTGTGAATTATAGCATGTGTTTAAGGTAACGTGACTGTGGAAATTCTGTGTACTGCAAAGTTGTATTCAAAAAGAATAAACTAGTTTTATTTAAGAAAGGACTTGTATCGCTGAAGTTCCTCGGGGAGAATTTATACCGGGAAATTAACAAACGACCAGAGACGTAACATCATATTTCTTTGGAGGGGGGCGTTACTTTTTATCTGGACGAAGGAAAAAGTGTAGGTTTTTGTGCTTAGATTTTCAATAAGTTTTTGATAAAGTACCACGCAAAAGATCAGCTGAGATAGTCACATCAGTAAGGATTATGGAAAGACGGACAAATTGGACTGAAGGGTGATTGAGTGGGAAAAAGTGAAAGGTTGTTATTGATGAAGTTCATTCAAACTGGACACTTATTAAAAGTGGAATACCTCTGAGGTCAGTACTTGGGTATTTGTTCTTTTTTTATTTACATTAATGATACTAACATAACATTTAAGGACAACAAAGGGCCTGTTGGTCTATCAAGGCCGTGCCATCGATTTAAAGAAAAAAAACTCAGATCCAGCTATGATAATTTATATATTTATCGAGAATTCCCTTAAATTTACTGCATCCACCCCACCTGAAGCAACCCATTACAAAGTTCAACCACACAGCTAGAAAAACAAAGCTGTAGGTGACTTCTACCCTGCCAAAGTTTATTTTTGTGTTTCCTTGCCCAATTATTCTTACATTAATTAAATACGAAAAAATGATGCGTCGATACTAAGAATTACCCAAGTAATCTTAAAAACGTTAATCAGATATTTTCTAACTCTTTTTTTTCAAGACAAATAATTTCAGGAATATTAGCCTGTTCTTATTTGACAGTTTTTCATCTAAGGTATCTTTCTAGCAGCCCTCCTTTGAACTCTTTCCAACATTTAAATGCTCTTCTTACGGTAACAAGCTCAAAACCTAACGCAATACTCCAAGTGAAGCCTAATCAATGACCTATACAATGAAGTTATAATGTTACGACAGCGGAATTCACGTGACGCTGGTAACACGTAATGAGTATCTAGAACGTTCGTGAAGGCTCGAATGTTCTCCATACGCCCTCTATTTCGTATATATAAGACCGGGGAGAAGTGACGGCATGATAATTGAATTGCAGACAGAGAGATATAGAGACAGATAATTGAGTCAAGCCGTATGTAAAGTGCGTGAATCGTTGTGAATTCTAGTGTGTGTTTAAGTTAAATTAAAGTGACTGTGGAAATTAAATGTATTGCAAAGTTGAATTGAGAAAAAGTAAACTAGTTTTATTTAAGAAAAGATTTGTATCGCTGAAGTTCTTCCGAAAGAATTTTACGGAAATTAACAAACGACCAGTGGCGTAACAACAACATCTTTAGAGTTGTATTCAGTTACTTCTGTAGATACAAACTAAAATCATATACTAAATTAACAATAACAAATTGCTTGGATGTTTTAAGAGACCGATCAGCCAGAAAAAAATATATTTTTTTAAAATTATACTTATAATTCAAGTTATGATAACCATCTGCCATTTATTTGTTCAAACTCATCAAGTAATCGTAATCCATTTGTTAAGCAGTAGCGTCCTCTTCATAGCCAGTAAAACTTAATATCATAATGTCATTATCAAATTTAAACAATTTATTGACAATTCCCCTTTCTATGTCATTGATGAAAATAAAAAAGAGCAAATTTCCGAGTATTGGCATTTAATCCAGTTCGAATGAACTGCATTTATAAGCATTTTCTGCTTTCTTCCTTCCAGCCTTTTTTCGAGCTAACTTATTTTCTACTTCCACAGAGATAAGTTTATTGATGGCATTAAACTCTTGGGTATTTCTATCTATATTCAGAACAAATTGGAAAAATATTTGGCAAGTTACCTTTAATTATACATAGTAAGTGCAAGATAATGTATTTGTTTTGTTTGTTGATGTTAAGAACAAAGCTACACAATTGACTCTTTGTATCTACAGGTATCAAAACCCAATTTTTAGTGTTATATGTCGTCAGACCTACTGCTGAGCCACAAGGGGCTAATACATTTGAACTATCATGATCTTCCTCATGTTATCCTATATCATTGTGTCAAGTTGGGTACTGATTGATCAAGAATTGTGGAAACGTAGAAGGAACAGATACACACATATATTGACGTTTATTTATATAGAAGATGCGGGGGTCTAACCCCCCAACCCATTTATGACCTTCCTCATGTCATCCTATATCACTGTGTCAAGTCTGGTGCTGACTGATCAAGAAATGTGGAAACGTATAAGGAACAATTGATTTAAGGTGTGAAAAAACAGATGCGAACTTAGCTTTATATACTAGATATCCTTCTTTGCTTCCACTCGTAAGTGTAAAGAATTAGTAGCTTTGCCTTAAATACAAAATATAGAGGCGCTTCAAGTAGGTAATAAGAATGAAGAAGTTTAACAGCAATTCTTTTTTCTTCTTGGATAATTCTAGTGTGCTCTAAATTCATTTAATCTAAATAAATTATTCTTAAAGATTATGTATAACGTAATCAATGTTTTTAATTTTATGGAAAGGTAAATTTAACATTTTGTATTTCATAGATGACGTTGATTGATGTTTACTGTCCCGGATGTGTCATGGCGTTTTGTCTGTATAAAGTGATGCTGTAACTTGTATATTTATTTATAATACTTCAGGTTAATTTTGGTTTAATTATAGGTTTTTATACTACCAAGAGATAAAATATTATACTTGCATTAATGGTAATGCATGCAAGGAAACTTCCAAGACTCAATGATGGGTATGATATAAAGTTCAAATGAACAACTTGAAGTTGAACTGGAGTGGAAGTTGAAAGTGGAAATGAAATTAATATAATTTCAAACTCAAGTGTACTGCTAAAAGTTGGATATGTTACTTGCATTCTGCAGGAAAAATTTCACATATATATTAATGTATTAAAATTTAAAGATCGTGAACATGATTGTTAGGGTTTAGCCATTAGACGAAATAAAGGAATGTTAAACTAAAATTAATATTTTGTACGACAAAGAATAATAATAATTTTTTCTAAACTTTAAAAGAAAAACTTTGTCGGTTTAGGACAGTCTGTTTAATATTAATTTTTACTTGTTAATAAATGTCATTTTTTTATCTCTTTCTTTCTCCCACTTTGATTGTTATCAGGATCTTTGACAAAAACCAAGCCCATTCATTTGAGGTGAGTAATCATGGTCTGGGATAATTTGTTTGTTATTACTCTTTTAGTATTACTATTTAATGTAGTATTCGTCTTAAAGTGTCTGTGTTTGTAAAGCTGAGAATCACTGCTATTCCTCATTGACATTGATAGGGACATAGTCAAGAAATTGGTCAAGTTGGATGATGATAAAAAGATTGTAGCATGATCACACATCTAACACAAGCGCCAGAATGTCTAGCCAGTCCTCATCAACCACAATGGACAGCTGATGATGATCACATAAATTTGGGGCAGCTACCACAAATAGCCTTTGAATATTTTTATGTAAAATTCCACAGAAACAAACAGTTGTCAGTATGCATAGCTAAAATAATTTTGAATTATATATGTAGGAAAATTAATTTCAAGTCTAAAGAGGTCATTATATTGTTGTACAAGTCACTAATTAAAACTCGTATAAAGTACTTTGTTCAATTTTGGTCCTGTTGCCTTACGAAGGCCAGAAGTGATGGAGAAGGCTCAGAAGAGGGCTACTAGGATGATACTAAGAATGGGTAAATTGTCATATGAAGATAGATAGAGATCTCTTAACTTTTTATTTCTTGAAACAAGAAGGTTCTGGATTGATCTACCTGAAACATTCAAAATTATTTAAAGAATTGTTCAGTTGAAGTAGTTTTATTTCTCCAATAAGGTGGTAAATTTATAGAACAAACAGCCACTTATGAACAAGGTTTACAAATATTTGGGAGATCAGGGCTGGATTTGATCATTAGTTTTCTTTTTGCTGAGGGAGATTGGGAGTCAGGACTTTCAAGATAGGCCAAAAGGCCCATTTATGTCCCTTAATTTAGTATTATGATTTTACAATTGTTGGTGAAGAATTATGTATACTGGTAATATACTAAACACCATGATAACCAATTGATGCTTTAGATATTATACAGCAATAAACAAGAGATTTCAAATAGTTGAATAATTTTTTTCAGAACTGAAAATAAAGAGGTCATCTATTTGAAAGCTCTCGAGTTTCGTGGTGTTTTGAAATGTACTTGATTTTCTGGCTATCCTCTGTGCTAATTCTTTTGTTATGGTTAATGTGTTTAGTAAATGTGTGAAAAATTATTTGAATGTATTTTATAAAAAAAATTATGTTGTACAATATCCAAGTTATTTATAGTTTGGCTGCTGGATGAATTATTATAGCCTGTTAGTTAAATTGATTGGTTTAAGAAAACCCTTACTATCTGTGTAGTATCAGTATTATGGAATAATTAGTGTATGTTGGTACTTATTTCAATAATAGTTGGGTTAACTTTAATCAAAATTTCTGATAGCATGTAAAAAATTTTTACATGAATTTATAAATTTTGTGATGCCTTAAGTATAAATAACATATGAACAACAAGAGACCATTTACTTCTTCAAAGTTGTTCTTGCACACACACATGCTTAAGAAAAAGTAAAAACTTAAACCCACCCTTTAATTTCAGGATATTATCAATCCCCCCTCTTAAACTCATGTAAAGCTAATCACCCAGTAAGAAAAATAGATTTATTAACTGGAGCCTAGTCTGTCTTTTCCAAGTATTCTCATCCTGTTGTCTTTAGAATATGGCATAAAGAAATAACAAGCCTTTATAAGAATTGTTTTATTTAACTTTAGTGGATTTAGTCTGGATTTAAGAAAGAAAAAAACTAGGTACAGTGGTAATAAAATGTAGGAAAACTTTAATTTGACACAACGTTTCTGGCCTGAACTCTTCTTATTTTTATATACAGTGATCCCTTGCATAACAAAGTTAATTTTTTCTACGAAATCCTTCGCTATGTGAATATGGGAAATACATGACCTGATTCATTCCAAAACCATCATAAGTTAACCTTTTTGACCTTAAAAACATAGTTTACAAAATTAAAACACTAATATGTATTTGACAAATAAATATTATAAGAACATGGTAAAGGATTAAAATTTATCGAAACATAGAAGAATCCATAAATATAGTATAAAAGTATTCATACAGTAAAACAATTCCTGCCATAGGCTAAGAAGATGACTGGTATAGAGGGTTTGATGGAGAACTTTTGGAAGGAGAATCTTCCATTATAACTTCTGGGAAGAGGGATTTTGTGAGTTGCTGGATGTTTATGGCTCCAATCTTGGCTTCTTTCTAAAGAAGCTGTCAAGAGTTGACTGCTGTGCTGCCATTCTCTTCTCCATTAACAACTTCATGAAGTAAGACACAACCTTGTTATCAAACTGACAGATTGGAAGCTCTGTGGATGGATGTCTGCTGACATATTTCTTGAAAGTATCCCAAAAGTTTAAAAGTTCATTCAGCTGTGCAGTTGTCAAGGCATCATCATCACCTTGTTTGTCTTTCCTACTGTCATATTCATTGAAGCTGACCAGTTCTTGCAGATCCTCTGTGGTGAGCTGCCTATTGTGAGAGTTAACAAGGTCTTCCACATCATCTTGGTCCACTTCTAGCCCCATGGATTCACCAATTGAGACAATTTCTTTTTGTACAGCAGCAACATCTTCAAATCCTTCAAAGTCTTGCTGGATTACTGGTGAAAGAGGTCCCCATGCAGCATTCAAGCAGTGCACTGATACTTCTTGCCATGCTAAGACAATTGTCTTTACAGCCTCCAGAACTGTTTCAGTGTTAGCCCCTCTTCATGTAATGTAGCCTCAAAATACTTGTGGAAAACCTTCTTGGTGTAGAGCCTCTTGAAATTAGCTATCATTTGCTGGTCCATAGGCTAGATCAGAGATGTGGTGTTAGGAGGCAGGAACTTTACTTTGATGAAAGGAAATTTGGCTATCAAAGAGGAAGCAAGTTCAGGGTCATGGCTAGGTGCATTATCCAAAAGTAACAAAGCCTTCACTTCCATCTTGTTCGTATTTAAGTACTTCTTCAAAAAGGGGCAAAACACTTCAGAAGTCCATTCATAAAACAACTGCCTGCTCACCCATGTCTTACGGTCAGATTTCCAATAAACCTCCAATTCACCTCTGATGACTTTTGTTGCTCAAATACCCTTGAATTCTCAGAAAGGTACACAAGAATGGGCTTCAATTTGAAATCTTCTGATGCATTAGCTCCAAGCAACAAGGTAAGCCTATCCTTTTGGGGCTTATGGTGATGTAAGTTCTCCGGGGCATCTTTTTCCAAAAGAGCCCAGTTTTGTCCACATTAAATACTTGCTGGGGCAAACAGTCTTTCTCCTCCATTAATTCACCAAATTCCACTTTGAACTTTTCTGTAGCCTCTTTATCTACACTGGAAGCTTCACCATGCTTAACCACAGAATGGATCTCACTTCTCTGCTTGAACCTTTGAAACCAACCCTTCCTTGCCTGGAAATCTTCAAAAACTGAACTCAAGGATTAAGCTGATTCACATGTAAGGTGATCAAAAATGTTTTTTGCTTACTCACAAATCATACTTCTGTCTATGGACTTACCTTGCATTTGCCTATCATGAATCCAAAGCAACAGCAGTCTTTCCATTTCTACAATTCTTTCCCTTCCTTTAATGACCCTGGTTGAGGCATCACTCACTTTGGTAGCTTTAATTTTCTCCTTATTTAGCAGGATGGTGGAAATTGTTAATTGAGACAAGCCATACTCCTTAGCAAGCACACTTGTTTTGCCCCCTTTTTTCTGACTTCTCAACAATTTCCTGCTTTATCTTAAGGGTTATGCAATTCCTACTCTTCTTATACTTCTGTGAATTACCTTTAGGGGCCATTGTGATTGCTATAAATTCACTTTTAAATTGATAAATTCAATAAAATCACAGTCTGTAAGAGACCTCTTTCCACAGCCACAGCAAACTATGTAAACAAAGACGGTCTGGTTCCAAATGCTTGTATACGGGTGTCACTGATTGGCTGAGGCCAAGTTTAGTTAGGAGCGCTTTGATTGGCCAAATATGGTGCAATTCATTATGTGGAAAATATTTGTTGTGTGAGTCAATGGGACCCATGGGAAGCAATTTGTTAAGCAGAAATTTGTTATCCGATGGCTTCGTTATATGAGGGTTCACTGTATATATATTGTTTTTGTATACATTAGTTTTAATTAAGCCTATTGGCTCATGTCCATTACAAAATAGACATTTCCAAAACATTGTAAGAAATTGTATTTCTATCATAAATGCTTCAGCATCCTTTAACATAAGGGGCTGTTTGCATCCCCCCCTCCTCCTGTACACTGTTGTTTCTAAAACGTTTTAATATTGAAGAAAGCAAGTTACAAAGTGACATAATTTGAACTTTTTTTTTGCTTTGAAAAGAACAATTATATGATTGTGACATGACTAGGTCTTGGTTAAAAGTTCTGTATATATATGCTTCGAAATTTCAGTTAACACACTTGTTTTTTAACTTGAATAAGTACAATATTTTATTTGAGTAATTTCAATAAAATGTTTATAATGAACTATATGATATCACAGATAAAAATATAGTTTGATGATAACAGATCACTTATCCAATTGAGAGACCAATCAAAGCTTTGAGGTATGCATAGTAACAGGGTCAGAAGAAGCTATAATTACTATTGTCATGAAATAAAATTCTGCACCATGTTGTGACATAAAGAGTATTTTCAGTAAATGTGATAATATTGTTCTCATTATTCTTAAAGTTCCTGCAAAAATAGCAGCTGTTGTGTCATTCATTGACAGGGGCAGTAAAAGACACTCGTGAAATAACATTTACGGCCACTTGTAGGCAGCAGTGTAATGGTGCCCATCAAAACAGATGCAAAATTGAATACAGCAAGAATTACAAAATAGGGTCCTTCCAGTCATAATCAAAACTTTTAATAGAGAGAGAGATTTAATACTTAAAAAATCTTCATCAAAGTCCTACTTTTATTTTATTACATTTATCATCTGTTGCTTAAGCCTAAAGGTTACCATTAGGATGTTGGAACTAACTGAACTTGAAGTTACACATTGTTGAACCTGAATTTTTTAGTTCAGCATAAGTAATATATTTAACAGAGAAATTGTGAAACTTTAAGTAGTAATTATTTACACCAACAGAAAGATTAAATACTTTTATGTAAAGATAAGATTTTTTTCATTTTACATGCAAATCCTAAATGTTTGTATAATTTATTCTCCAATTATGGGTCACTTCATCTGGTAGAACACTGATGGTTATATTAGAAAATCAAGTTATAGTGAAAATTATAATGAGAAGATGCGCAATTCACCAGATGGAAATAGTCGAGGAAGAAGTGCTAGCCCTGATAGTCGACACAGCCCTCGACATCTCAAATTGTATCCTCATAGGCTTAAGGAAAGAGATAATACAGAAAGAAGTGAGTATTGTTCTCAATAAATAACTGTATATTGCAAATTTATTTAATGGAAAATTCAAGAAATTCAAATCATTAATTATAATCTGGTTGTTATTTGCTTTCAAACAGTTTAACCCTACACGCACAAGAGAGGCAAAGTGCACGTTACAATGTGTTACAGAGGTACATTCAAAATTTAACTATACTACTTTATTACCAATGTATGCCAATGAACTTGGCATCAAAATGTAATTTATCATTCAAATATTAATATTAAACAGGTTCTAATTTCAAAAGGAAATATTTAAATTGTTAATCTTCACTTCTCTGTATCACATGATACTTCCTTGCTCTGAATCGTTCCTTTTATAGTTCCATATCTTCTAAGTTCAGCATAAATTACACACTTATAGATAATTTTGATATATACTTTAAGATATAACTGAGATATAAACCAGAAAGTGAAATCCACATGCCATGCCCTTCTATCACATCCTGTCCTTCAAAAAAATTTTTGTAATTCTCTCTGACATATGCTAATGAATTATTTATAACCAATAAAAATAGAAAATTTTGATTTACCAAATTCCCTATATGGCTAACTCATTCTGATAACGGTTTTTGAATTATCTGGCCTAATGTTTCATTATTTACTGTCATTGATATCACCTTGACCAGCTGACAGAATTATTGTAAATCAGTTATAATTTAATTAAAAATACAGTTACACTGAAGTAGTCTTAGGACATTCTTTTTTTTTTTTCATGTCTACTTATTTTTGTTTCTCGGTTGCTATTATTTAAAATGAATAAAAATTAGCACCGAACCAAAGTAGGTTTAACTTTTGTTGAGACTTCGAGATCAAAAAGTACGAATCTCACATGTAAGTACTAGATTTTTTTTTTATTTACATATATTTTTTATTTATTGTTGTAAAAATAGCTAAAATGTTAAGATTAGGAACTTATTAGGCTAGATAAGAAAATGTAAATGAAAAAAACAAAACAGTACTCAAGATAGTAAGCACACATTGCAAGAGCAACATGATTGTAATTCAACTGTATGTGCTGGTAACTCAATCCTTTGTTTACATAAAGCTGCCCACGTCTGATAAATTGCTGTTGTCCTACTCGTAGTGCAGCCATAAAGCAATAAATCTAAATGATCCAAAGATTTAAAAAGTATCAGCTTTGTCTGTAAGAATTAATAATGTCTGATTGCCTGTTGCAACATGTAGCCACTCTAGAAAAAAAAATTTAATTATGATTTATTTCATGTTTTACAAAATTTCATTTTACCATACATTGCTTATTTTGTTATAGTTAGTGTTAGAGAAAATAACAGACAAAATATAAAATTGTACTGAGAAAAAACTTTTTATATTCATTTAGGTAATTCTATAGGTTATGCAAATGAAATATTAAAACTGTAAGATGAGAAAGTGTATTTTTATTCTTAACATAAAATTGACTTCAGACTCAGATTAGTCAGAGTGAGCCAGACTGACTTGGTAAATTCACAGACAACTCTTTTGTAAGAATACTTTATAAAAAAATTCTGATTTTCTGCATACTATAGACTTGTAATGTTTTCTAAAAGTTTAATAAGTTTCTTGAAGATACACTTAGTGAATTCAGATTTATAGTCCTCGTTAATTAATTAATACCGGCTTTGTACGGTGGACCGACCCTCTGTACACGGGCTTAAGTAAGATAGATAGGGCATAGTCTGTGTACGTGTGTTTCTTAAACAAAATAAGTCATTGTGTTCAGAATTTGTGATCCACAACAAATAGGACAGGTTAAACAGCATGTTAAACTTATAATTCTGGAATCATCTGTGTTTGCAAGTTTGTAGCTGTTGGTGCTGCAGACTTTAACTCAACTTTTGAAGGCACTACTAAATGGTTGCTAGTTATTTTTACCCACTAGCAAATTTGAAACTGCTACTAGCAACAACGTTATTCCTCTCTAAAATCAACTACAAATGTGTAGCAATTATTTCATGTATTAAATGTTAATAAATAAATATATATATATATATATATATCCTTGTTATATGTATAAATCTGTGTGTGGTGTTTTCTTTTCAAAACGTTTCAAAAATCAAAACTAATTTTAATTACATGTAATAATGTTTTTGTTTTAATTATTTCATAAAAGTTAAAAGATGTGTTACTTGGGTGGACACTGGTGTATCTAAGCCACAACTGTTTGAATAGACTGTCTACAGCACACCACTGCTGCTGGTCACTGAAAAAAAAGTAGTTTATTTTTAAAAGTTACAGTTTAAATGCAAAAATCTGGACAGTTTAAGAGGAATGTGAAAAAAAATGTGTGCAGTTTACATGCTTTCTATTATCTTATTATCCTAGCCAACTTGATGAGCTGTGTTATTGGCCTTATCAGCACTGGATATGATAGATGTAATGTTGTTTACATATTATAACATATTTTCCTTATTGGTTCTTATAATTACTTCTACTTAGTATACTTGGGCACAATATTTCAAATCTTTGAAGAGGCCATTGTGTTTGTTGCTCTGGCAACCAATAAAACGAGTTGAAGCTGTAGTATTTCTATCTAAGTTGTCTGCTAGTTAGCTTGGATATGTCACACAGCTCAAACAGGGATTGTAAGACTGGCAAGTGAAACAGTTATAGTAACCTTCTGTACTCCCAAGACTTGCAATATAGATGACTGAAATACATGCATTCTAGATGTATTGATACTGGACAGTAAGAATCTGTGGATCTTCCTTCTGAAATATGTGCTAGCAGTTTCCTTTCAGTACCTTCTAAGTTTTATTGCATGATTAACCAGCAATTTGCTAGTTTTGTAGCATGAATTTTGAGCCCATTTCCACATGTTAAATTATTCTACAGCAACTTTGAAATGACCTTCAGCATTCCATTATTTAATCTTTTTTTTTTGTTACCTGGAATTTGACAGTTTTGGTTTTTAGAATATTAGTTTCTCTTAGTTAAGAACATTTTTTGAACATTTGAATAGGAAGATTTTATCTTTGTGGTCAGCTTGGTGCATAGTTACAGTTTTAGTTGTTTACTTGACAAGAATGTTAACAGAAATTATTAATTTGGTGAAAAAGACTGGCTTACACTTCAGGGTGAGCCTTTTATATCAATAAATGTTTAAGTCTGGAATATGTTTTATAAACTTAAGAGAACTGAATGTTTTGTGTATATGATAAAAAAGATTAGCAGTATTGTATTTCTTGATTCAGATTCTGGTAGATCTCCTTCTATTAAAGACTGCAGGAGTAGTGGAAGTGGTTCTACTGTTGGAAGCAAAATGCACCACTTGCCACCGTCATATAATTCAACTCCATCCCGTCGACTGGAAATATCTCCTGGTGCTTCGAATCGTAGTAATCATGATAGGATTCCCACAGAGGTGAGAAAAGATGTTTGTAAATAAAGAAAATATTAATACTAACTTACTGATCATGGTGCTGAAGTAGTGTAGTATAGATATTTTTGTTTTTAATGAAAAATATAACTGTGTAACCAGACATTAGTGGGTCATAACACTTTGTTGTAGTATGTGAAAGATGTAACTAGGTAACATGACAAGGTAATAAAAGCTTATATTGTTAAGAGGACGTTATCAATTATAGTAATTAATTTGCTCTGTAAACTCAGTTAATAAAATGATGATTGCTTGATTATTTGTCAAAAAACAACCTGTAATAAGTTTGAAGCCATTCACTTATCTTTGATTTGATGTTTGACTCTACCTTACATTTTTCATCATCTGAAAAATATAAAACATAGCACAATAGAAATTGAAAAGTTCATTTTAATCGATTTATACTTGTTTTTGTCTGTATCACGAGCTGCTTTTCTTGATGTGTTATAAAAAGAAAGGAACTTGTGTTGATAATAACTATTGAGTTTTAATTATTAAGGATAATTATTGTATTTGATGATGCAGAGAATCCATTAGACTTTCATAATCCACCCAAATCACATGAAATCTAAGGTTTTTGTATATTTACAGGAAAAGGAAAGACGGCTTCAGATTGCTGATTGGTCAGAACACATCAGTTCCTCAGGGAAGAAATATTATTATAATTGCAAGACAGAAGTTTCTCAATGGGAAAAACCGAAGGAGTGGTATGAGTGGGAAAAGTAAGTTCCAAATTTGGATCAAAAGTTTTTATTATTGGCTACTTTGACACATTCCCCCCAAAACCAATACCAACCACCAGTCATGGTTGATATATCTGTTGTTTAATAAGAGTAATAACAATAAAAGCTTTATGAAGTTTTGTGATTTGTTTAATAATGTAATCAGTAGTTGTGACTTTATTTTTAGTCATTTTGAATGTTCAAATCACAGTTTCTCAAAAAAATATTATTTAGACAATTTTCAAATCACAACTACTGTAAACTTTTGTTGTAAGCAGTGTTTGTTACATTGCTTAAAACAGTTTTTATACTAACTTTTGTGCATAATAATTTTGGGTTTTATTGCATTTCTAAAGATCATTTTAACAGTAACTACTAATTTTCTAAAATAAGCATTGATGCAGGATCAATTTATTGAACATACAAACAATATATACATTTCTCACTCTTTCCCTTCATTTCACTAATATCTGTTACCGACCAATACGAATATGGCTATAGCTTCTCCATTTTTTCAATGAAGTACATGGTTAATATTATATGATTTCCACAGTTTTCAGCGGCATAACTTCTGGCTTTAATGGAGTAAGCATAGGTAGGCAGAATCTAATTATTGAACTATTTGGGTTAATAATTCTTGTTTTAAAATAAGCTAATGACAAAACATGTAGAAGAGTATAAGTAAAGCCATGATTTTCTTTGTAATGATTTTTAGAGATTGTAAGTTTATTCAAGATTAGATATGGTTATATGGTCACTCTACATGAAATGCCTGCATCCATTTTATTTTGCCACTGAAGCAGTCATGTAGCTACTTTATTGTCCAATAAAAATGTGAGTGTTTTCACTTATCCATCGTTTTGTGCTTGGGTTAGGCCTAAAGCAGGAACATTAACAAACAAAACTTTCATTTCTCTCTTTTTACTTTTCAAGAAAAGACATCTGATGTACCTTATATTTTTTAAATTTTTGTAATGATAAAGAAGTGAAACAGGTTTATAATGTTTTTTTTATTAGCTTACATGTAGAAATACAATGTCTTACATTTGGAAATGTAGCACAAGTTTAGCTTAAGCCTGAAATTGCAAAATGTAATAAATCAAGATTTGATTAAGTCTGACATTCCAAAATGTAGTAATTGAAGCTTTCATTAAGTCTGACATTGTGCGATCATGTGCAAGTCTCGATGAAGGCTAATATTTCAAGTGGCCACACCCATATGGATTAATTAGTGCTTTGAATAAAATATCATTTAAAAATACTAATTACTTTGTTACACTTTATATATATATATATATTTATTTTTTATTTTTTTCTCTTAATAATTCTGGTTATATTTGGGTTTTAGGAAACAAGGTATGTACAGACCTTCAAGTGAGTCCAGTAGAACTAAAGACAGGTCAGTGGACAGACAAACCCCGTCAGCTACTGGATCTAGGTGTATGTATTGATGGTTTTCCTTAAGAATGGGTTTTTAATTGATTAGATTCTTCATCCAACTTTCATGTTCCTTAAAAAATTAAATCATTTACTTCTTATGCTTCTTTTTTTTTATAAACATAAGATTATATTTCAATTTGAACATATAAAACTACATGAATTTTAAGAATTTGTAGGAGAACATTGGCAAAAACTGCAGTTTAATGTATTTTTAAATTTTAAGAAATACTTGTAAAGAGAAAAAGATTTACATTTGTTACTTCTTTTTTCTTTATGAACATATATTCCTTTCATCATGAGTGCTTTATTCTGGTATGCTGGAACCAGAAATTGGTTACGTTTTGTGGGTGTTTCTGCATTTTAATGTAAATTAAACAAAAAGTTAATTTTTATTTATCTGTTGCATTGTTTTTATGACTTGCAGCTACAGAAAGACACTCCTGTCGAACAGAAAAAAATACCCATAGTAGACCCCAAGAACAGCAGTTTCCACCCTCTACTATTCCCTCACCGGTGAAACCCAGCAGCTCTGGTGTTCACAATGCAGAACATAGCAGCAACAGTCGAAGCTCTCTGAGGGACGAACCAGCCCATTCTCAAAGTGGAGACAAATCTTCAAGACACGAAAGAAAAGAAAGTCTTCGAAGAAAAGCTAGTGAAGGTAAGTTTCTTATTGCAGTGTTCACTGTCAGGTTTTTATGTATGTATGGACCAGATTGTATACAGTTGGTGTCTATGACTTGATGGAGATAAATTTCAACAACAAATAAACAGCACACAGTCCACTTGTTTTAAAATAATGAATTAAAACAAGTCAAAAGTATAATAATGGCTGGAGACGGCTTGAATGGGTAATGAAGAAAAACTTTAATATAAGTTTAACATAACAGCAAATGTACAACGTTTCGACAAGGTTTTGTCATCTTCAGGTACACATTATATACAAATGTTTTTATACAGTTAATTACCACAGTTGTATCAAGAGCTTTAAATAATTCTCTTTTGGTCAAAAGTTTGCACAGGTTTGGTCAATTACTTTAGAACACAATTGACAAATTATTTTTCTTTACTCTATTGTTGCAATACAATCTGTGATAATTTCACTTAAAAAAACACTCCACTGTATGCTCTTTATGGTTAGCCACACTCACACACAGTCTAGATATATCTATATCTAATTAACTTTCTCTAACTTAACTTGAACTACACTTTGTATGTGTATTTATAGCCTGACTGAGGTCTAGAACTTTCTACATGTTACGAGAAAATTATGATGCAACAATACTCAGTTAACTTTCTTACGGTGAGCTCAGTCCCAAGGACTGACCTTGTAACCATTTTGTGCTTGTTATAGTTTTCATGTTGTAACTTTAAATCAGTATAAAACTTTGAAGATTATCAATATATTGAGTGGCACAAGTAAATAGACACCTAATTTTTTGTCATTTAACTGATTTATGCTAACTAATTTGTGTTCACAGAGCACTATATAAATGAAAATGGTCCGCACACTAATTATCTAAAACATGCCTAGAACTCAAGGTTCTCTCGAATTGTCAGATTTTGTTAGAGGAAGGATAGTTGGTCAAGCAGATGGTGGAATAAGTCAGCGGCAAATTTCGCAGAATTTGGGAATCCCGCTTTCGACAGTCAGCAGAATCATCATGCAGTTCAGGAAAAATGGCAAGTAAATAACTGAGCAGTGTCCGGGTCGTCCTGGTCCATCGGAGTGGACAAAAAGGACTGTCAAGAGGAGCATCGAAATGGATCCCAGATTAACGACTG